GCGGTAAACTCACTGTCTCCAGCACCAGCTGTGTAACTGGAAAGTCCAGTTCCGAGATTCACATCTGCAGTGGTGGCTTAAGGGAGTGGTAGCCTTTCTCATACTGCACAAGCCCTACTTTCCTCTGCTGGCATCACTAAGGAGCACCACGCAGACCGTGGCACTATTAGAACCCATGCTCAGCCCTCTTATCACACAGGGCCAAGGCCCCAGGCCTGAGGAAAGACAGGGTTCATTGTGTTCTCATTCGTATTTCTCACCGGTGAACCTCAGCTAAGAGCACTGTTGGATGCTTTCAGCTTTGTCTTTAATTAGAAACAAAAACTCTCCTTTCTTCACTGCTATTGCAAGTATTTCTATGGTTCCATTGCCCATAAAATCTCCTTAATGTGTGGGCTTCCTAGAGTACAATTTTTCTGTATTAGTGATAGCTAAATATCAAAAGTTGAGTTCTTAAATCCAGTGACAGGTGATGGGGAAAAAAAGGTGATAATAAGCTTAGGTGCTTTTGGAGGCAAGGAGGCTATGGATTTGAACACTATGTATATTGGAAATGCCTTAGTTTTTTTTTTTTTTGGAACATCTGAGAAGTCACTCAAATACCGTTTGAAATATATGAGTAAGAAGTGGATACAAAGATCTCTTCCACTACCAGTATGCAGTCCTGGAGGGTAGGAAATGTGTCTCACTCCTCAAATTCTTTACAACAACTAGCTGCATAGGTGAGTTTAAGCAATGAGGCAGGAAGCTGCTCTGCCTCCTGTAAACTTCGGCCGATGATGTTCACCTGATGGATGGCAGGATGCAAAGTCAGCAAGCAGAGTGCTTCTTGCCTGCAGAACTATGAGAAGAGATTGATATCTGCACTCGTTACTTATGGAGGAAACATTCAGGAGACAAGGAAATAGTTTACTTGATGTGAGAAATGTCTTTCTAGCCTAATGATTCTCTGGTGGTATTTTTATAATGTTCAAGTAGATAAATGCATCCAATAATTCAAAAATATGGGGGTCGTTGCTGGAAAACAATAGTTGAGAACACAATATGAAAAACATAATCCTGGGCGTAATTTAAACAGTTTTGAATAAAATGTAAATAAATGGGATTAGAGGGCAATTAAACAAAAGCAATTTGACCAATGCCAATTTGAATTTCTGCCTAATGTTAATGAAACAATACTTAGAAAAGCAAGGTAATCAACTCTTGCTGACACTGAGAATCAGATAATAGGATCCTCAGACATAGCAAGAGGAAAGATGAGGGGATGCTGAAGCTGCAGAAATACAAAAGGGAGACCCACCAGGGGAAAGCAAATCTGCTTGAGGCTATGTGCAATGAAAGAAAGACCCAAGAAAGGGAAAATGAGTGTGCTGTATGAGCTCCAGCTCTTCTGCTCAAAGCTTCCAGACACATCTCAGATGGGCCTTCTACCATCCTTCCCGTACCTCACCACAAAATGTGCACCTGGGAAGAGCAGAGTAGCTAGGTTGGTTGCACGTGGTCTTCCACAGTGCCTCTAAGAATGTTTGGATCTTGAAGTAGGCTAGTTGAGCCGCTTTGCACCCACATCTACTATCTACACACTGTACATTCCCAAAAAACTTGGGCTGAATAAAATATCCTGGTGGGATGAATCTGCAGAGTTACAAGTTTGAGACAAAAGGCTGGAACCAGACTTACAACAAGGAACTAAATTTTCCTCTCTGGCACCACCAACATGATTGTGTAACACGTTCAAGTGGATGGGAGACACTGCAGCTGAAGGTGGTTCCTTTTCTTCCCTTCTTCTTTTTAATTTTTACTTTATGCAGTACTTGGGATTGAACTCAGGGCTTTCCAGGCAAGTTCTCTACCACTTGGGCCATGCCTCCAGTTCTTTTACTGTATTAGTTGATTTTTGACTAATAGGGTCTCTGGAGCATTTGCCTAGGGTAGCCTTAGAGTGCAATCCTCCTACCTCTGCCTCTTGAGAAGTGGGTCACAGCCACCATGCCCAGCCCTAGGTAGCTCCCTTTCTGACAGAAAGCATTACAAACCAGTGACTCTTTCAAAGACCATTGGAAACAAATCTCCAAACTTCCAATGGTTTGGTGAGGTATTTCTCAACCTTCAAACAATAAGAATCCACCAATGCCAGTACAGAAATATTTTTACCAGCAAACAATCTTAAAGTCAAGTCTATAAATATTGCCTTATTTACAATCCAACTCTCTGAAGATGGCAAACAGTGGTCCTGGCTGTCCTCTGCAGTGGACTGGTGAATGTAGTGTCAAGATCAAGAAAATGTCAAATGCACGTAACTAATTCTTCTTGAAATCCAGAAAAATGCTGGCAGGAAAATGAGTTCTTGAATCTTGTTCAAAGGTGTGTGGAAAAGCAGCACACTACCTTCACAATTACTTAATCCCACTGCAGTATTCAGCTCTTTGTGTGTGTGTGTGTGTGTTTGTGTGTGGTACTCTTCCTTTATGGGAGAGAGTGAGCTTGCCTCTTTATTTTGAGGCACCCAGGGAAGTCTGAGGTAAATGTTCTCCACTGCTAAATCCAAAGCCAGCCCAACAGCAATAACGCAGAAGCTCCTCAGAGAAGTCCTGAACTGAGAACTTCCATAGTGCACACTTTTAAAAAAGCTCTGTCGATTCTTGAAACCAGTTCCAGCAAGAAATAGTCTGATCATCCTTCCTTTGAATATGAGCCGGCCTCAGGAATCTGGTTCCAATGAAGAACGTGAGGTGAAACGCTTCATGATGTGACTTCTGAGCCTCGTTACAGAAAGAAGTACAGGGTCTGCCTGGCCCTCTCTTGAGATGCTCATCCTTGAACTGCAGCTGCCATGTTACAAGGAGTCCACTACTGTGTGGAACGGCCATCTGCAGGTGTTCCAGTCAACAGCCCAACTCAGGTCCCAGATAACAATCATCACCAATCAGCTGGATTTACACATGTTACTTCAACCATGGGACTGAGGAAGGCCTCAAGAAAATTCTAGCTCTAGCCCCTCCCTGACTGTCTGGGACCCTAAGTGGAAACTATCTAGCCACGGCCAATCAACTCTGAGGACTATGAGAGACAGCAGTAATCAACAAATGTTGTTTTAAAAAAAAGGTCTGCAAACTGGCCTGTGGATAAAATCTAGCCTGTAACATGTTTTTGTGTAGCATGTAGGCTAAGTATAGTTTGATACATTTTTAAAGAGTGGTAAAACAAACAAACAAACAAAAAAATAAAAAATATGTAACAAAGACCATAAGTGTCTCTCAAAGCCAAAAATATTTCCTCTCTGGCCCTTCACAGAAAACGTTTTCCCACCACTTACTTAAACTGGAGTTTTCAGATTGCTTGTTACAGAAACACACAACTGGAACTGCAGAGCTTCTGGGATGTAAGGAGAGGCAATGCTAGGCCATCACTGCACTTGCAGTACCATGCAAGCCACCCTGAAAAGCTACATCTACCTGCAATCTGCAGCCAGTATCTATCCTGTCAGTAACTGCTATGAGGGTTGGGGTATGCGGCTCAGTGATGGAGCTCTTGCCTAGTACATATGAATCATTAAGTTCCATCCCCAGCACTACACAAGATAAATAGTAATTGCTATCATACAACACTGTAATTTAATAAACATACCTGCTCAAAGAAAAGTGACAGTAATGAGATTAGTGAAAACAAGGACTATATGAGACATATATCTTGGATTTGATTCTAGATCAAGTTCCGTAATTTTTATTTTTTTTGGCAGCACTGGGGTTTGAACTCAGGGCCTTGAACTTGCTAGGCAGGTACTCTACCACTTTAGCCATGCTTCTAGCCCTTAAGTTCTAATTTTGAGATACTCATTAATAATTATAATAAAATAGGCAGCATTTATTGGCTCTTTAATAAGTACCAGACATTTTTCTAAAACTATCCTATACTTATTATCTTAGTGAGGCCTCAGAACAACACTCATTTCCATTTTACAGATGAGAAAACTGAAGCACAGATGAGAAAACTGAAGCACAGATGATCTAACCTAAGACCACACAGACAGGATGTGAATCCAGACCTGAGTCTCAATCATAAACTTAACCACTGTACTGGGCAGTTCCTCCACAGAAAATTCCAGTAAAAACACTTAGTGGTAATTTAGAGAATGCAGCAGGCTCCTCTGGGAAGGGCAGCACCCATTGACCTCTCTGGCCAGGGCAGCACCCATTGACCTCTCTGGCCAGACCTTCCTGGGTTCTGGCCAAGGGTGCTGTCCATCCTCACCCAGCAATAAGACCTGGAAACGGAGACTCCACGTTTTCCTGAGATCCTAGGACTTTCAGTAGCATCTACCCTTCTATTGAGAGTTTTTGAAGATCCCAGACTAGCCCAAACCATCTAAAGCTTCCCACATTTACTCTGTTTTTTGTCAATCAACATGTGGAAAATTTGCTTTCCAGAGGTATTACAGTCCTGGGAGACATAATATAGCCCCTTCACTATCAGCACATAGCTAAATAAAACCAACAGACTGACCAAGAGCCAAGCAACATCAAAAAAGAGTTCCAGATCACTATTAGGACCAGTGGTCACAGAGAGTCAGATGAGCATCAGTGTTCTCATCTGTGGAGCAGGAGTAATAACACCCACTGGGGTCTGTTGTGTAGACAGAGCAGAGCTATGTAAAGGATCTGTTCCAATGTCTGGCACACGGGCAACAGGTGTGATTACTGTAACACAGAACACATGTGCCTTCTGGAGTCCTGCTCACTTCCCAGCTTTTCACTGAATAACTAGAAAAGCTGTGAACCACAAAGAAAGATCCACATTCATGAACAGGCAGAATAGTGGTTGTCACTTATCCACTGGTTACACATTTTCCATCTCCTACCATTTTAAAAATGGCTTCATCACATTCTGCCCTCCAAATGAGCTTTGCACAAATAAGTGGAAATCATTGCCCTGATTAACGGTGTGGCAAGGCCACTCCAGCACACTGACCAAAGGCAGGGAATGACATCTTGTCTACTCACCAGAAAGGAAAAATAATGAGGCGGCTGATGAAAAATATGAAGGAAAAGATGAAAAACAAGGTGTTACAGGTTTTCTTCCATCCAGCGTAAGAAAACATCTTAGCAGACTGCAAATAAAGGAAGAAACTTCATTCAGATAAGGTGCTAATAGCATAATTTTTAATTGATAAATGAGACAACATGATGTCTGGGATTTGCCTCACAACAATCTGGGGAAGTTGGAGGAGGGGTAGGACCATGGGTTAAACAAGATTGGCCACAATGGTAACTGTTAGAGCTCTTTATCTTGTCCTGCGTTTGACATTTTCCATATGTCTCCTTTCTTTCAAAAACCTAGAAGCTAGCACAATCAGTCTTAGTGTGCATCTCAGTGGACATTTACTTAATATCTCCATTTAACCAGGAGAAGAGCTGCACTGCAGCAAGGCTATGATAGTAGTGAAATGAGGCTGGGCTGGGAATGCTGTAATCAATGTGGCTACTTCAAGGCAGATGACGGAAGAGGTGTCAGTGTTGGGAGGCAACTTGTGGGGGGCCCTGCCATGGTTGATTGTTTCCTATTTATTTTATGCTAGTCCATACTGCTCATATTGTCTGTGTTGGACAAAAAGAATTATAAAAGAGGTGCTGAATGTGATACCAGAAGGTTCCTTGATGAGGATGCTCGACTGTATTATCCAGTGCAGCGCAAGGTTGGAGGGGAAAGTTTCTGGTGGGAGTTGGGAGTGAGGGATGGGTAGAAGCTGCTGGGGTGCATACTGTCCCTCTAGGGAGCATGGCTTAGACTCAAGCAGTTTCAGAGCCGATTATCATCTGAGGTCCAAGACTTTTCTAGGAAGGATTTACACTGCATCTTCCATGCTTTTTCTTACCAAGGGGAGAAGATATGACCAGCCTGTGGGGATAGCAGAGGGCCCAATGGGAAGGCTAGTACATAGAGGGTTAGTACAACCAGGAGGTAGGAGACAGGTGTAGGGGCAAAGGCCAGAAATTTGTAGTAGCTGAAACAGAAAGCACAGCTGTCTGAAAGGCTAGGCCACAGTGGGAAGCTAGAGATAGGTGTAGGCATAGAAATCCCTGTAAACTCATTCACAGGGGAAAAAACAGCATTATTGGGCAAAAATATATACAACACCTTTGTAATGATAAAACATCAGATGATAGCCCTTCTTCAGTGTTTAATCATCAGTCAGGATATATTAAAGGGTTGGGCCAAAATCCAAACTTGGCCAAGAGGAAAATCAGAGGACCAGGATGATGCATCAAGAAGGCAAAAGATCATGTATGAGTAAGAATCATAAGTGCTGTAGACACTTTTTCTTGCAAAGGAATGTACCACTAACTGTCTTGAAGAATATGAAAGACTAGTAATAGGCACCATCTCAATGAAGGTCTAAATGGACACAAGTGGTACCATGTCTGGGTTCAATTAGAACTTGACTGAGAGGATAAACATTCAAACAACCATTCAAGGAAATCGTTGAATATGCAACCTTAAGAAGATAAAAAATAGGGCCTGTCTCCATGTAATGCTGTCTCTCCCACCAGCTGTTCATGGAAAGTAACCTTGGGTACTGTGTCTCATGTCAGATCATGACTCGTGGCTCAAGAATGATTTATGATCATTAATGAAAAGCTGTTCTTATAGTTTACCCACGAAGGGACCTCTAAGTTCGACATTTCATTTTTCTTCTGTTTTTAACCTAAGAGCCTCAGAACATTTTCAAACAGCAATGAGCTAAACTTCACAATATACCCTAAGGGATAGTATGACTTCTCATGTTACAGCTGGGTATAGAAAACAAAACAATAAGTGATTTGCCCAAGTCTCTTAGGGAGTTGTGTTGTGTCAATGACAGGGTAGAGGAGGGTGGGAGGAGAAAATCAAGTGTTCTAGTCCCAGTTTGAATAGCAAACTCTGCTTTAATAACACAGTGGAAGTGTTTCTACATTGGACACACACCAAAAGAAACTGAATAAGAGCATTTACAAGCAACAGACTAGTATAAAATTCTTAAGTCATGGCTAATGTGTTCTTAATTTTCAGTCAGGGTCACTGAGATATGATCAGAGAAACAGGTAATTATAAGAGAGATGGCTACATCCAGAGAGCAACACATGGAAAAGCTGGCATAGTCCTTCTTTGCTACGTCATTTGCTACCCTGAAGCACATATACTAATCTTGACCTTCAGAATGGGATTTACATATCTAATTACAATTACAGACAAAGTAGAAGCAACATTCTTTACAAAGAGAATATGTTAACAGTGGCTAAGTTGCTTTGAAACGGCTTCAAATGACTTCTGGTTACTTCTTAAACAGGGCTGGGCAAATTATGGTTCAGCCCATAGGTTAAAGCAGGTTGGCTTGTAAGAATGGTTTTCACATTTTTAAAGGGGTATAAAAAAAGAAAAAAAAAAACCCCAAAGAACAAAGAATATGTGATAGATATCACATAAAGCCTACAAAACTAGACTTACTATATGGCCCTTTACCAAAAAGCTTGCTAAACCCAATCTAGAAGATTGAGATTCTATTAAATTTAATTTCTTCCATATCAACCTATATTCAGCTATTAGCCCTTCCCCAAATGCTTCACATTTAGAGCAATCCCAAATGTGAAATGGGTTAGCATCATTTTCCTTGGGGCACTACAAATGAGGATATTGAAATGAATAAGCAAGTGGTTCAGGAGATGTTGCTCTAACTACACCAGGAGAGCTTGAGGTGAGAGGACCATTTAGTCACGGCCTCAACATCAACAGGAACCAAGGCACAACAGAAGCAGGTCAAGAAAACAGTCCTAATGTCACTTTATTTCTCATATTTTGTGTGGTTTGGGATTAGGAAGACTCCTGTCATAATGTTCCCTGACTTAGAAAACATCCTAAGCCCTCTTCCTCCCTTAGAAAATGAATGCCATTTAAAAAAACACATGAGCTGGCATTCCCAAAAGCAGGGGACTGGATAGGAATAGGATGCTGCTGCAGTGTGAGCATCCAGTGGGTAGTCAGGCACTTGCTCAGATGAATCGATGGTGTCATCCAGCTTTGGGAATCCAGAATGCCATGAATACAGGTTTTCCTTCTCCAAGATTCAAGCTCATTTCTTCTTCAATATCTCATCTTACTTCCTGAACTAACACCAGCATACAACTTTCCTAAGTGAAGTCCTATAACTTAGCCTCTTACTATACCACAGGCAACTGGAAAATCAAAACCAAGAGGTTACATTTCTTTCACTTTGAAGCATCCAGGGACCCAGAGACATACTTGGACTTTGGGTGTTTTCAGGACAGAGTGTCCTCCTGAATCACCCACAGACAATTCTTTCTACAGGAAGTTACAGAAAGCCAGGGTAGGTAGGACGTGGTATTGTAATTATTTTTTAAATGGCAAACACTTACCTCCAGCCAAATGTCAGCCACATCGTGCACAAGCATCACGAGGGTCCCACTTCGGATGTAATTAGCACACCAAGAAAAGCTCATCAAACTAATAGCAGCCAGGTGGTGGATGACATTAGCTAGAAAATCCTACATAACGGAAGAAAAATGAAAGTAGTTATTTCTCAGTCGCAGGAAGAGACGATAATAATAAAAAGAGTAATGCCAATAACTAACATCTGTACGATTTGAAATCTGTAAAATACTCTAATTCTTAAACACAATCCCAGGGACCTGGGACCAAGGGACCAAGTATTACCCTCACTGATGAAATCATTTAACCTTGCATTGAATCATTGTCATCAAATATAACATCTGCTGTCCTTTACACAACCCCATGCTGGTTTACTTACATACACACATACAAGCATATCCTTGCAGACATTTATATTTTCTGTTTACTCCTAAATTAATTTAACTTAAGAAGGAAAAGTATTTGGGGATGATGGCTCATATCTATAACCCCAGCCACTCAGGAGGAGATGGGGAAGGATGGCAGTTCAAGGCCAACCCAGGCAAAAAAACTCATGAGACCCTCTGAATGAATGGGCTGGGTCTGGTGGTTCACACCTATAATCCCAGCTACATGGGCAGCACAGGTAGAAAGACTGAAGTCCCAGAATGACACAGGGAAAAAAATTAGACCCTCTCTGAAAAATAACCTAAAGTATGATGTGCTGGTGGGGTGGTAGAGCGCTTGCCTAGCAAGTGCAAGGCCCTGAGTTCAAACTCCAGTACTGCCAAAAAAAAAAAAAGAGTTTTATTAACTACATAGCCATTAAAATAAGTTACTGCATATGAACTAAGGAAAATTTAAAGTGGGATAACTACATCAGAAAATCAAGGCTAAAGAAAGCTACCACCATTGAGCACTTAATATGTTTGTGAGGCATGTGACTGTCTCAAATATGTCAAAAACACTTGAGGTTTTCAGTTTCCCTGAAACTCGACTCAAAAAGTAAAGATGGCATTATAGCTCAATGTACTGAGCACTTACTCTAAACTAGGGCATGTTTTATATGAATTAACTTGCTTAATCCTCGTAACAACTAGATAAGATAGAAACTATTTTCAGCTCCATCTTTCAGATGAGGAAACCAGATTTAGGGAGTTTAGCCAAGTAGCACAATATGTTAAGAGTGGTGAAGTCAGGGGTTCAAACACAGGCAGTTGACTGCAGGGTGTGCATGAGCCATCTCCCAAAGATATGTACTTATAAAACATAAAACATATATTTAAATTTAAGTTCTGAAAAAGATGCACCTGCAAATAACAAAAGGAAAATGAACTACCTGAAATTGAAGATAGAGAAATAAAGGGCTGTAGGAGGAACAGCCTACCTATTTAGGAAAACTTCTAAAAATCTATTAGTTTCCATTCTTTCCCTTGAGAAAAAGCCTCAATTGGTTCAATTTTGATGTATCCTTAGCTGAAGTGAATAGCAGTAAATCTACAGCTATTTTTGAGTTATAAGGATGTAGATCATTTCTATCAGATTTTTTTTCATTCTTTTTTGTACATTTTAACAGGTTTCTTCATGGTATTTTCATATTTTCATACAGACAGAGAATGTACTTTAGTCATATTCACCCAATTATCCTTTCTTGTCACTCCTCCCCCCATCTCTGGTTCCCTTCCCCTTCACAAATAGTCTCCTCCCACTTTCATGTCCTTTTTAAAAAAATCAATCTAGATTCCACACACAATGTGTTCTCATACTTAGATCCTGTAAGTTTTCCTTGAACATGACCATTTGACTTCGGGGTCCTCCTAGGATGTATAGTGCCCACCACTCAATTCAAATATCACTCAATCAAGCCACCTTCATTTTATCTCATATTAAATTAATTTTATTTATTATAAAATCTTTGCTGAAACCAGGGTTTAGCATCTGGAGTATAGACCAAGATTATTTATCATTTGATTTGTTTTGCTAACGTGTATGAGGAAATCTTGTGAGTTCATTCAGTGTCTAAAATGACTGCTGGAACAGCAAAAAGGCGTCAACCAAACAGTTCCTGCAATGTCTCACTTAGTGACCTCAGAAGAGGTGCTTTGAACGCCTGTAACTCAGTTTCCCTGAAAAATAAAGCAAAGCTAGCAAGGCAGGAAGCAAGGTTTTCTAACAAAGGTATTTGATGAATTAAGGAAAACAATGTTTTCAAAAAGTATCACATAAGGGATTGTCATTAACTGAAAGAATGTGGCTTCAGAATGAAAACTGCTAACACTTTTCTTCTGTGCATTAATGGACATGCAGCTCCTAAGCCAAAAGAAACAGAAACACCAAAAGGATTTCTGTTCTTACTGAACCGAGGTAGAGCTCAAAGTTAATGTTTCTGTAATGTTTCACTACAAATACTCACCCAGGCACAAAATCAGGAGCATAATTCTCACTGATCTATTTACTATTAAAAGCAAAAACAAACAAACAAAAAAACCAATGTGCTGGAACTAAATATAGATAAAAGTACAATATAAAGATTACAATTTGGGGCAGAAGGAAGAAAATTCTTGAAGAAACTGGTAAAAAAGTTTTGTAAATAAGACACTCACCTTTCTCTTGACATCAGTGCCGAGACTAAACAACAAAGACCAATAAAAACTCATTTCTAAAATGTAGTACCAGTACTGGGATGGCAGCAAGGGCTGAGAAAAAGGAAAGGAAAGCATTGTCACTTTGCAAAAAACTTATTTCAATGCACTAAAACCTACTTATGGTCCATATAATACTATAAAATAACAATGATTAAAACTGTAACTTCCTAAAATAAATTATACATATTTCAAGATGTTTTATTTCTAAAAGGGCAGACAAGTATTCTAAAATCAAGTTAAATTTTTTTATAGAAAAAGTTAATGAAACTGTTATAGGAGTAATTGCCTTATTTTAGTTTAATGCAAGTTAAGTTAGATGTACAACTGCATAAGGACACCAAAAATGTCTTCTGAAAAAAGGAATTAAATTTGAGTGCTAGGATTTTCCCTGATACTTGTATAGCAGAGGGTGTTTATTTTATGTAAGCTGGGACATTATGTCATTTGGTGAGAACATTTGGTTTGTCACCTCAATGTTTCCATCGATTTCTACCTTCTGATATCCATGGCTACATGTGGTGTCCTCCCACACTGACTATGGATTCGATCCTGGTCTTTAGTCAAGGAGACATAAGCAATGTAATGCAAGAAGAGACTTCATAAGCACCACGTAAGAAACCTGAGCTATCCTGCTGGAGACACCACAGAGAAGTGTATCAAGGTGCCAACCTATGAAAAACAAGAATGAGTGAGCTCAACAGACACCACACAGGGCACATCTGCTTAGACCAAATTGCTGACCCAAATCACGAGCAATAAATGGTTATGATTTTCAGGCACTAAGTTTGGGGGTGATTTGTTATGCACCAATAGATGACTGGTGCACCTGAGAAGGTCAAGTAATTAGGAGGTTGAAGATGATGGGATTGAACTATGGCCCAGAAAATACTTAGGTCCTTGTGGTCTAGGTCTAACCTTTGATTCCTCCATGCTGAGGCTAACACATTAAGAGGACTAATTTCAGTTGTGCACGGTGATGCATGACTGCAAATCCTAGCACCTGACAGGCTGAGGCAGGATTGCAAGCTCAAGGCTAGGTTGGGCTACATAGTGAGTTCAAGGTTAGCCTGAGCTACATAGAAAACCCTGCCTCACAAAACCAAGGGCTGAAGATGCAGCTTGATGGTAGAGCACTTGCCCAGCATGTGCCAGGCCCTGGGTTTGATCCTTTGCACTGTAATGAGTGAATGAATTAATGAACAGATAAATAAATAAAATGAAAAAATGGCTAATTTTTTTTTTGGTTGCACTAGAATTAAACTCAGGGCTTTCTACTTGCTTATCAAGTGCTCTACCATTTGAGCCATGATCTTAGCACTTTTTGCTTTAGTTTGTTTTTAGATGGGGTCTTGAGCTTTTGCACAAGGCAGCCTCAGAAAGCAATCCTACCTCTACCTTCCAAGTAGCGAGGATTACAGGCATACCACCATACCCGACCCAAAATTTCACTGTTGTTGAACTCATTATCTTTGATAATGCCATAAAAGAATGAAACAGTTTACGCTTTCCTCAATGACATAAAAAGCCTGTATGAAACTAATCTTCTTAGTGAGACCAGCTTAAAATCTGGCTAAAAGACAAAAATGAGTATCTGATCAAAGGCATCAGAGAGCAACCAAAGCATCTAGAACCTGTGGAATAAAGACCCCAAAGAAAACAAAAGTGCATTAAAGTGAGTCCTTTATTTAACAAGTACTAAAGACCCTAAGCAGAATGAATTTAAAGAAAACCATACCTATACATGTCATAAAATCTGCATTGCCAATTTATAAGCAGTATGGAGTCCAGAAACTAATAGAAGCAGAAGTTAAGCAGGAGTTTTGGCTAGAAAGCAGGCCAACCAAGGAAAAGGAGTCATGGTAAACACTGTGATCTTTTATTTAAAACCACTGAAGAGGGCTGGTAGAGGGGCTCAAGTGGTAGAGCACCAGCTTTGCAAGTGTGAAGCCCTTAGTTCAAACCCCAGTCTCACCAAAAAACAAACAAACAACAACAAAAAAACAAACCACTGGAGAGAAACAGTCCAGAATATGGGTAAGTTGGAAAGACATCTACCCTACAAAACTGTGATCCACACTGAATTAGCCCACAGATTAAAAGTGACCCATCTCTACTCTAATTCCTAACAGAAGTGAGAGTCAGCCCTCTCAGAGGGAAGATTACATCATTTTGACCATTCATACTTTTCATATACAATGTCTATCACTCAATATAAAGTGATAAAGCAGAAGGAGAGAACAACAAGAAAGAAAACAGAACAAGAGTAATTGAAATATTACATGTATCAGACCTGAATTTTAAAAGAACTTTTAAAAATATATTAAAATGGAAATTTTTTGTAGAGAACTGCAATTCACAAAAAGAATTAAATGAAAATTTGGGAAATGGAAAATACAATATGTGAAATTAAGGAGCTGCATTGAGTACCAGGTTAGATACTGTTAGAAAGAGCACTCATGAATGGGAGTACATTAAGGTAGAAAATATCCAGAACTGCAAAATACCTAAGGTTTTACCCTACTTACAAGCTAACAGGTTGTTTTGCCACAGGTTTCATGGATGAGGGTATACGATGGGAGATTCCTGGGTCAGAGAGAGAGGATAGTTTATGACTCACAGCAACAGCAACAGTCAGAGTACCTGTATTTTAAGCCAGTTTTCTCAGCCCCAGTTCCCACTGGGCTAAACAGAAAGGATCAGATGACAACTGTACTTATAGGGAGCTGTGTTACATGAGAAGAACCCTGACCCAGGGAAAATGAATCTTTCATTCTGGTCAGTAGCATGCCTACCCTTTTCTCCTGAAGGAGACATTTTCTCTAACTTCTGAAGCTGTTAGCTATACAAACATCCTTATAAAGATACTCTAAGACAAAAGGCAGTCAGCACCTCAATTCACATGACATGCAAAACTTCTCAGGAAACCTGTAGAGAACTATCTCCCAACAGACTGAAGTATAGAGGGAAAGAAGATAGAAAATGTTCCTCAAAGCAAAAGAGTTGGATAAGGCCTAGTGTAAAGGACTAGTATTATTAGCATACTTGTAACTGAAATTCCAGAAGAGTGGAGAGAAAGAAACAAAAGCAATGGCTAAAGTTATGGAAACAGCCAAGATGCCCCACCACTGACGAATGGATTAAGAAAATGTGGTATCTATACACAATGGAATTCTATGCAGCCGTGAAGAAGAACGAAATGTTATCATTCACTGATAAATGGATGGAATTGGAGAACATCATTCTGAGTGAGGTTAGCCTGGCTCAAAAAACCAAAAATCGTATGTTCTCCCTCATATGTGGACATTAGATCAAGGGCAAACACAACAAGGGGATTGGACTATGAGCACATGATAAAAGCGAGAGCACACAAGGGAGGGGTGAGGATAGGTAAGACACCTAAAAAACTAGCTAGCATTTGTTGCCCTTAACGCAGAGAAGCTAAAGCAGATACCTTAAAGCAACTGAGGCCAATAGGAAAAGGGGAACAGGTACTAGAGAAAAGGTTAGATCAAAAAGAATTAACCTAGAAGGTAACACCCACGTACAGGAAATCAATGTGAGTCAATGCCCTGTATAGCTATCCTTATCTCAACCAGCAAAAACCCTTGTTCCTTCCTATTATTGCCTATACTATCTCTACAACAAAATTAGAAATAAGGGCAAAATAGTTTCTGCTGGGTATTGAGGAGGGGGGAGAGGGAGGGGACGGAGTGGGTGGTAAGGGAGGGGGTGGGGGCAGGGGGGAGAAATGAACCAAGCCTTGCATGCACATATGAATAATAAAAGAAAAATGAAAAAAAAAAAGCAATGGCTAACATGTTTCTAAAACTGACTAAAGACATCAAGCCATAGATTCCAGATATACTATGGACTAAGCAAGATAAATTCAAAGAAAACTATATGCATAGTTTATACATATACACATATCATATATGCATTTATATATTGTAACAAAACTTCAGAAAGATAAGATAAAATATTAAAACCACTGAGAAAAGGAAAAAAGAGATGGCTGATTCTGGAATGGCCTTTTCAAGTGCTGAAGGAAGGTAACTGTTAGCTAAGAATTCTATACCCAGCAAAAATGTCCTTTAAAATACAAAGGCAATATAATAGCATTTTCAGCCAAACAAAATTTGGCAGTCCTGCCATTAAAAAAGTACCAAAGGAATTTCTTTAAACAGGAGATAATAATCCCAGATGAAAGAACAGAAATGCAGGAAGTGATGTGTTCATCACTTAGTAAACTTTACTAATTTACAAAGCAATAACAGTAATGACTTGTAGGGCTTTAAATATTTGAAGGAGGTAGATATATGGAATATTCTAAAGACCTTTCAAGTCTGGAAGAGTTCAAAGCCCAGAGTTCAAACCTCAACACTACTAAAACCCAGTACCACCACCAGGGCCTGAAAAAAAAGAAAGAGCACTCATTTTTATTAGACTCTAATTAGTCAAGAATGCATATGCTAATCTCTAGATAATTAGTGAAAGATCATATTCTGCTCAAAAGTCAATAAGGGAAGCAATAGAATAGTGATTTTTAAAAAAAGAACTTAACCATTGAAAAGCAAGAAGGGAGTACAAAAGGAAATGCATCAGGCAGTACCAATAAAAGCAAAGGGTAAGATGATAGATTTAAACCCCAATATGTAACTATATTAATTGTAAACAAACTAAAAGAATGAGACATGTGATAAGTCAATAAGGATAAGGAAACCCACACAGAGAAAGAGCCAAAGATGACATGGTAGTGAACAAGGAGTAAGAACAGGACTAAGACCCAGTCAAGGGACAATTTAAGAGACCTGGGTATTGAAGTAAGGGAGAAACAGTATCAGAAAGGACTTACCTGCCTGGGATAGCCATTCCAAACTTCCCAGAGGTCATATGCCCACGGTTTCTGGAAAAAAAATAAGCCAAGAGAAAAGAAATAAATTTGTAAGAGTCAAAAGGTGCTAACAGTAGAAAACCTAAGCTCTCCCTGATGTTGTTCATTGTTGGACCAAGAAACACAGGAAGATTCACTTTTGCATCTTCTTGTTGCTTCTGTTGTACATATTTCTCCATTCGTGGGCATTTATTCATGTTTCTACGTACACTCATGTGAAATTCACTACTTCTAGTGAGTATGGACTCAGCAAATAATATGGTCTCACTGAAAGAATTGTTTTGATCAAGTAAATCTACTAACAAAATTATTTGTGACCAATTGATTATTGTATGTGTACCAATGAAAGTATTATCTTGAGACAAGTATAGCAATAAAATATTTATAAGAAATCTTTTTTTTGAGGTGCTACAGATCCAACCTTATACATGCTAGGCAAGTGTTCTACCAGTGAACTATATCCCCAGCTAGAGAAAAATCTTGAATCTTGAGAGAAATCTCTAAAGCTGCTTAACTTATTGAAACTACTATATCTAAAGGATATAGGCAAGAATTTTAAAAATCAAAGACAAATGCCAAAATATCAAAAGGACAACTTACATCATAAAGAAATGCCACTCCAGCAATAGTGATCATTAAATAAAACGCAAACCGCCAGCTGCCAAGAGAAAGGATCATCTTTACTCCTTTGTGAAAATAAATGACATCTGAGAAAAAACGACTTGGATGACAGGTTTTGGAAGGCGCACTCTCTGGAGTCAGACAAATCTAAGTTTATATCCTTGCTCTGCCATTATCGGTTGACTAAAACCTTAGATAAATTAGTTCACCTCAGCGGTCCTAACTTCCTTATCTGTGTAATGGGAATAATAAAACTTACTTCAAAAAGAATTGAAGAAAATTTGCCAAAGTATTGATCGTAGTTCTTGTACAAAGAAAGGAGGAGCAAATGGTAGCTATTTATGATGACTAAACCAGTTCCAGATACATAATAAATGATGATTTGATATTAGGATTATCATCAATAAGATAAGTAGGAATCTAACAAGCCCCAAAACTTATTTTATCCCCACTTAATCCACTTCTATGTGGCTTTTCTCCTAAAAAAAAGAGTTTGAAAGAAAACTTTGTTTCTCACGCATGGAGGATTTTTAAGAGACTTAAAAGGCAAAGCCAGTTGGTGGTGCGTGCCTGTAATCCCAGCACTCAGGAGGCTGAAACAGGAGTATTGCAAGTACAAGGCCAGCCTGGGCTACATAGGGAGACTCTTGTCTCAAAAATCAAAACAAAACCCAGAATAACAACAAAAATCACCAATTGCAATATATGAATCTTATTTAGATCCTGATTCTAGCAAACAAACTATAAAGAAATTTGTTAAGGAAATCTGAACACTAAATATTTGCTATAATCAAATAAAACTAGAGCCCAGGATCTCAGGCAACTTGATTTGGTCACTCTCTGTCAGATGAGTGGCACCTGGAAGGTCACACCTGTTGCTCCAAAGATAACCCCCCGCATCAAGGTGACAGGAACAAACCCCACTTGAAGGCTCTATCCTCCACCTAGTTAGTATTTATTTTCAGCACCAGTTTGATTTAGTTTTTTATCTTTAGTCTATTGCACTGTTATGACTAGTTGGCCATTATTAGATTTTCACATGAAAAAAAGCTTTGTTACAGAAATTAGCACACTATTTTTAAAAATCTGGACAGAAGGCATTTTGGTGACTGAACATACGGTCTGGTGTTAACTATAAATGTACAAATTCTTTCTTGCTGTCTGGCCAGACACACTGCATTCATTTTATATTGCTGGCAATATCAAAGGTTTCTTTGTGAAAACTCTTAATTTCTATCAAGGTATCATGGATTTTTAAAATTAGTATTTCATTACAAATGTCTCAACATTAGTTCACTAATTTTTGCAAGGATCATTATTGATCAAACAAATAAATTTAATAGCCATTTGGGGAAAAAACTACTTTAGATACGATATGGGCGCTGTAATTACATTTAAAATAGAGTATTTATCTTTCAGAGAGATACACTAACATACTCACATATGAAAACAGTGTGTGATATTTCTTCAAAAATAATCAGGAGGGGGAGAGAAGAGGGTAAAATTATTTTTCAAAATTATGGCTATTTTGTCTGATTACTGAAGTGACAACAGTAAAATGAAAACAGTATAAGGCTCACAGTGTTTTCCTCAACCCTCTGGTAGACAGATAAATGAAGACTCAGACTCATGAGGTCAGCCATCTATCTCCCCAGTTCATGCAGCTAAGCTAGACTATAGTCTTTCTTCATGACTTGCCTTTTTGTTTTGGTTTTTGTCTGTTTTTTTATTCTGCTTTGTTTTGGTTTTCTTTTTTGTTTTCTTGAGAGAGAGGGTGTCTTAGGTAGCCCAGGTTGGCCTCAAGCTCTCAATCCTCCTGCCTCTGCCTCCTGAGTGCTACAATTACAGGAGTGTGCCACTGACCCAGCTCAGGGTTTGTTTTGATAGGAGGAAAAAAAGGGGATTTAATACCCACAAACTTGAACCATATAAACACTCAAAAGGCATTTTACCAAATGAGGGTTGGAATCTGTCATATTTATGTTTGGCCCAGAGAGCACTTTCTTGGTTCTGTGGGTTATCTTGTAAGGATAAGAAGCACAAAAGATAGCAGATGATAAGGCTAGCCAGTCCACAATCAGCTCATACTCTAGGTGGTACATATCACTTTGTTTCTCAGACATTTATTGACATCTGGACACTGTTGAGCATACAGTATCACATTTTAGCATACATTTTAACAAGATTGTGAAGGTGATGATATAATTAGCACTTTCTTAGAGACTTTTGCTAGATTCTCACACCCTAAAGAGAGGATAAGACAAATACTAAAGGAATGTGTCCTGCAGAGAGATCACATTACTTACCCAAGGTTTTACAGCGATAACTAGACATAAGAGTCTAGACTGGGCCAGTCCTAGATTGATCATGATACACTAGGGGTTCTCAAAGTATGCACCAGGGGCCCTTGAGGTCAGAATATTTGCATAGTAACACTACAATATTTGCCCCTTTCCCCTCATTCTCTCACAAGCACACAGTGGAGATTTTCAGAGGTCACATGACACATGACACTGCTCTGAATGAAACTGCACTAATGAAGGTGCCCACATAGTCTCTTTTTTAGAATTTTTTTTTTTTCTTTTTGCAGTACTGGGCTTGAATTCAGGCCTTCACCTTGAGCTACTCCACCAGTCCTTTTTTGTGTTGGGTTTTATCAAGCTGGGGTCTTGCGAACTATTTGCCCAGGCTGGCTTCAAACCATGATCCTCCTGATCTCTGCCTCTTGAGTAGTTAGGATTACAGGTGTTAGCCACCAGCGCTTAGCTAGAAATGTTTGTTTTTAATGTCAATCGCACTAAATATCAATAGCTGTACATCAAAGTCCTCTAGATTTTCAAGAGTTTTTAAGAGAACAAGGGGTCTTCAAACCAAGAAGTTAGAGAACTACTGCATTTGACTGCTGTACTTGTCAATGCTATTTTACTTGCTCCAAATGAATCTAAAATAGAAAACTTTTTACTTTTTTCCAGAAAAGGCTGAGATAAGCTAATTGTGGAAGAAGGAAATGCTGGGGAAAAAAATATCAGAAGTAGAGTCATTATGCAAAGATGGGAATAGTGGGAGATGTCTGAAGGGTAAAACCAGGGAAGAACTGGGTGGTGAACTTGGGCCATTGGTGGAGAAGCTAGAGGCACCAGAGATGGACTCCAAAGTGGGAGATGCTGAATGGATCAGGCAGTGTGCTACATGTCAGGTAAGGGCCCAGCAAGCGCAGAATGACAGTCCATCAGTCCACCCAGCCAAGGAGAGCCCTCCTTCCCGCACTGGAAGTTCTGCTCATATACTTTGGGAACTTGGGAGTTATTTTTTATTGTAAAATGGAAATGCTTACTTTTGAAAGAAAGATGTCCAGCTAATATGGAATTTGATGTTTGATCCACCATGGACTGAAACCTTCAATGCTATGGAACAGGCAGAGGGGTCATCACTAAATAAAGTAATGAAGGGAACAACACCCTGCACTTGGGTGCTCAGAGCTGATCCACGTGGATATTCTGGAGGACTTTCTGCCTTTGGAGAGTAATTGGTAAGAAGCTGTGTTGAGGAAGAAGTTTCCTGAGGTTTTTAAAAGGCCTAGAGGTAAGTGCCTTGCATTCTGATTTCTGTGGGACCTCCCACGGCTAAATAAAGCAGTCTCGATACAATTAAACAGCTTGGCATTTTGCTTTCTTCTGTTTTCTAGTCCACAACAACTTTTAAATTATGTAACTTAGAAGAAATTTGTGACACTGCTAAAGAATAAGCTTAATCCTATCTTGGACCCAACTGCTATTTTCCTGACTGTATTATGTAATTTCCTGCTTTGCACCTTTGCTTTACTTGAAAATGCTGCACCTCAAATCCCTGCTTTTCTCATGGAAACCGTGCTCACTCTTCAATGCCTCCTCTCCTCTGAAAGCCTTTCTCTAACTCTCCAGCCATGCTCACCCCATCTCCTCAGAAGTCCTACAAGCACAGCTAAACATGTCTGTCCCTGCTGGAGTACAGGCCTATATCATTTGTGTAGAAAATAATAGGTATTATGACTTCAGGGGTGACAGTGTGGTCTCTCTAGTCAGCTCTTTAAGAATAGCTTTGGGAATTTACTTCCCTCTTGAAATGCAGAACTCCAGAGGAGACATTCAACATGATCCTCTGCATTGCCTGACTGACTGGCATGGGTAACTGGAAATTCCCTGGAGCCTGAACTCTGTGGCCAACCTTCAGTGGATTCACTGACACAGCCTGAATCTCAAATGTTACTCCCTGTGGGGGCTGCTTTGTTTGCTTACGGGGAGGTAGAAGGTAGTCAGAACAGGATGATGCAACATAAATAGTATCAAAATAAGAGGCAGAGAATTTGGGTGCAACAGCTCCTCAGCCAGGTGACCTTGCACCAATTCCTTAAACTAGACAGATGCGCAGTTCCTCATTCTTAATCACAGTGAACCCCACCTTTCCCGACTGCCTCACCTTGTTGGTGAGAGTATCATACACATTTACACCGTGTAAGACAATTTATAAGAAACGATACGTATAAGAAATTGCCAGAGAATTTTACTGGAATATGATTCTACTCAGAGACAGACAATTAGTCCCTACCTGGAAACTTTATGGTAACAATCATTCCCTAGCAAGAATGAATAGTGTCAGCAGGGGAAAAAGGAGGATGTGATGTGAGACCAGCTGCACTATGTACAGTTTGGTGTGATGATCGATACCCTGTGCCAAGCTAACATCAGTGGCAACTCAGTATTAACCAATCATTCAAGAGCTAAAAATCAGAGGGAAGTTGGTTAGAAAATAAGCAAGGTCACAGACATAAGTCACTGCAGGAAAACCAGTAGAAGTCTGTGATTTGAATGAGTGCTTGTCTTGAGACCCTCTGAGGAACTGGTCTGTTCCTGTCACAGTGGGATTACAGTCCTCTCCTCAGGAGGGATGCAGAGAAGGGAAAGAAGTCAGTAAACTTTAGGCACGGGGCTCAGTCTTTCTGAGACCCCTCTCGACAGGGGCTTTTCTTCTCTTTTCCTCTCTGCAAAAAAACCAAAAAAAAAACCAAACAAACAAAAAAAAAACTTGAGTTACAGGCTCTATTTATTTGAGCCCTATTTTGGGCAGTCATTCATTTCACCACCCAGACAAAAATAGCTGCTGGAAGTCACCAGGCAACCTGAGGTTCTTAAGAAATGAGCAGAAAGAAGGAATGCACTGATGCAAAGATGTGGTGTTAGGTACAACCCAAATAATGCACATTCCTCTGGATGTACAGAAGGGGAAACAAAGTAACAGCAATGACCTGATTTCTGCCACCAAGAGAGTGGCCCAAAGCACAATATCTATAGGATGAAAAAGAAAAAGAGAAGGACTCAACTGAAACCAAAACCAAATCCAATGCAGCCTTGCAGCTCTGGTATAATTGTGCTGGATACCCTAGCCCATCCTGACTCTCTTGTGTGCCACTGGGAAGCAAGAGGAGGGGGCTGCATGACCCACAAGCATGACAGATGCTCAGGAGCCCCATCTGACAGATGGGGTACTCCTGTTAGTGCTCTGAGAGGAGCCCACTGGGATGTTCTCTGCTCTCAGATGTTCTCTGCTCTTTCAGTCATAGTGTCTGTGGACAGGTGGAATAGCCTTGTAGCTTAAGACTACCTGCAGCCCTAGGAAAGAGAAATTCTAGGTGAAGACATGTCAACAGCTTATTTGGACTTTGGGCTGAGTACATCGTATCTCAGTAGGCATTAGCTCATCTTAGAGAGCATGGGTCTGACCCAATCCCTACAGCAGGGAATGGAAGCAAAGAGGTGAAACAGTGGTGTGCTGGATCACCTGCTCCAAAGTGACAGCTGGCTTAGAACAACTTGTCTCTCCACATTTAGTCTGCTCTCTGAAATGACCCCTCTGCTCCAGATGAAACTGCAGCACTGCAAAAGCTCTGACCACCCTTCTTACCAGGCCTCCTGGAATTTCTTCGTTCTGCAAGGTCGCTCTTGATTCCGCCGACCCCTAAACCATCTCTCAACCTGGCGCTCGGTCAAGTTACACTTCTTTGCCAGTCCATAGATATCAATCTGAAAAAAAGATGAGTAATAAAGAGCAGAGTGAGACAGGTGGCGAGACTGGGTTACGAGAGCTCGTGTGAAAGGATGAGAGAGTCTGTGCGGGATCTTGAGCCAGGGAATCTATCTATCTATGTCTTCCTTTCATTTCTTTCTCTATTTATTTATCTGTTCATGCATTCATTCTGAGGTCTAATCTCAGGGCCCTGACTTTCCTAGGCAAGTGCTCTACCACTTGAGTCACACCCCCATCCTTTTCTTTTTTTGGTAGGGATGGCGGGGAGGGGGCTTTAGTTATTTTTCAGATAAGGTCTCACATTCTTACCTGGGGCTGACCCAGAACCATGATCCCTCTACCTATGTCTCCTACATAGCTGGGATTACAGACATGAACTGATGAGACTGCCTGTTTATAGAGATAGGTTCTTACTAACTTTTTCCCTGGGCTGGCCTTGAACTATGATCCTCCTGCTCTCTACCTCCCAAGTAGCTGGAATTACAGGAGTGAGCCAACATACTCATCTGGGGATTTATCTTTGCTTATGGAATCATATGCACACACACACACACACACACATACACACACACACACACACACACACACGCATAAGTGCTAACGGGGAAAAAAAACAGAGAGAATGTTAGTATCACAATTTACTGAGTTACTGAGAGACTCCATAAGTTGGTAGCAACCCACATGTTCAAGTTGCCTAGGTGAGCTCATTCATTCCACTAAAATTTACTTAGGGCCTCCTAGGTGACATGTAGAGTAGTAGGGTTCAAATGTCAATCAAATTCAAACTCTTAATTTTTCCAACAGGGACACTAAAGCCCTAAGACTTTTTGTAACTTGTCCAAGACCTGAAATTAATATTAAAGTGCTGATAAGAATTAGGCTAGGGAGGGGAAGATAAAGAAAATGGTGGTGGGAGTGAATCTAACTAAGATATATTGTAAGCACTTTGTAAATCACAATGTACCTCCAGTACAAGTATAATATGATTTTTAAAAAAAGAACCTAGGCTAGCATGCTGTTATTTCATGTGGGCACCAGAAGGTCATTCAAGAAAAACTCCAGCAGGTGTTGGCCATCCACTTTCACATTCAATCTGATGTAGAGTTGATTCCAAACTAATCTGAAAATAATTCTGATCATTAAAATAGTGACTGAACAACATAATAGCAATGATTGCTTCTCCTCTGGGAGGAAGTTGTACGCTATGATTTAAAGTAGGAAACACCACAGAAGATGGATTAGCTCAAAGGTTACAAATTCCAAGGTTTTCTAGGGCCAAATAAGAAACATATATGACCAAGTCCCTCTCATGGTGGGATTTTTAACAAAGGCATGTTTTGTATATTAAATCTATTATAACACTTTCCACTTCCACAAAAATACGTGCTCTGTATTTTTTTGAAGTTACATTGATCTTTCATTCTCTACTGTGAGTATAAGAAATGTCTCAATTTCCTTTTAATTCTATTATGAAAAAATAAAATTGTATAAAGCAGACCCTCAGTTGGCTGAGGAAACAAAAAAGCACTTGCCCTTTCCAAAAGTGCCCTCTGTGACCATGCACTGTCTGATGTTTCCATAGAGAAAGTACAGTTTTAGGACTCTGATGTAAGAACACAAAGTTTAAAAAATATTGATGAGTCCCTCAAAGTAAATTTAAACCAACTGCTGGTGAGCACTCTGAGGGCCAAGCAAAGTTTGCTACAGGCTGGGTAGCTAAACACCAACAGTTGGTGACCAGTCAGACAGGTTCTACTCTATCATTCATGGTTCAGGAATCATCCAGGGGCACAGAAAAACATCAGAAGCCACCATGCTAAAGATAGGCAGAGGACTAATTGCAGCTTTGACATCCCTATTAAACTGCTAGTCTATTACTTAATCTGAAGAGAGGAAAAGAAAAACAAAACAGAAAGAGGACATAGCTATTATCCTGTTTCCCAATAAAGCACTCCCTATAAACCTACTCTCTTATAGCAGAAGGTTTCAGCTGTTGTTTTTGTTTTGTTTTATTGTTTTGAGGAGACTGAATTGGCAATTGATTGGTGCCAACTTCTTCCAGGCACTAATGCTAGATAATGGAGACCTAAATGAACCAGACTTACATGGCCCTCCTCTTTACAGGGTAAAAATCTGATAAGGATGCCAGAAATCAGAACACAGAATTGTAATAATGAGATAGGATGAGTGGCAAGATGAGAGATCAGGGTACCACAGGATGTAACTCCATGTAGGCAGCTACTGGAAGTTGTACTTTAGCTGTCCCCTGAAAGTGCCCAGAGAAGAAGAAAGAAAGAAGAAGAAGGCCTGTGTCCTGCGAGGGACTGGCATGTGTGGTCATCTAGAGATGAGAACAGGTAAGCAGGAAAGGCTTGAGTACTGGCTGGGGAGAAACAGAAGAGAAGAGAAAGGATGTAGCTAGGGTCACTTCAGCGAGGGCCTTCTCTGGAATGTATTTGTTGGGTTACAGGCTGTTTGCATTTTAAGACTTCTCTCTTAGTATGTAGAAAATGAATGAGGAGGATAGAGATCAAGTTCATGCTGCTCCTCTGTCCTGGGCCCTTGCTCTCTACAGCAAGGGCCTCACACTCCAGGGTGAACAAGATTGGAGGTTGATTGCTCCAATGCAGAAAGCACCACGTGCACACTCCCTCAAAGAAAGGAAAGAATGAGGCAAGTATTGAGACCACAAAAGGTGGTGGGAAGGCAGGAAGCTGAAAACATAAGACCCAGTCCTGCTGTCTCCTAGCTGCAGAGACTTTGAGCACTGTGCTCTGCCCTGTAGAAAACAGTAATGACAGCATTTGCTACCTGCCTCACAGGAGTGACTGGAGGACCAAAGGACACCCACATGCAATGTACACAGTTGAGTGCTGTGTCAGTGCTGAAGTCTTTTATAGCCAAACACAAAATGGAGACCACAGACTGAAAATTAGTTAAGAAAAAAGTACTCCTTTATTTCCAAAACAATTTGAAAATATTTCTGTTTGTTTCCTGTTTTGGAATATAGATGAATCTAGCCGAAAGTCAGTCTTTGCAATTCTGGCTTCATGCACCACACTGTTATTGGGAAAGAAACCTTGCCAATGTATATCTTTAGAAGTATTTTCTATAATACTGAAACAAGCACTTACTGAACATCTACAATGCACAGAAAACTGTACAACATGTGATGGTAGTAAAAATGAGCACAGTTAAAACAAGTGATGTTCCCTTGGGATAATTTGAGTTGAAAAGACATGTTTTAAGAGTTCCAGAAAAAGTCAGTGTATGATAGACACAAAATTAATGACACAGACCACAGCTAGTAATAGCTGATCCCTGATGAGCACCTGCTATGTGCCAAGCACTATTCAGAACACTTACATGTGTTCAGTCTTCAAATGAATCCTAAGAGACAGGCATTGTGCTCAGTTACAGAGGAGGAGACTGAAGCACAGATGAGAAAACCTACCCATCTCTGCACACAAAGTCTACAACAGACATGGACTCTGGGCCCACAAGTGTGCCTGCACACTTGTGGTTTAGCTTCTCTCTACACTTTGGGCTGGGAAGTGTGGGAAAAGCCTCCCCGGTGAGCCTGCAGAAGAGGTCGTGTGGCCCAAAGGAAGAGAAAAGAATGTGGCCAAGAGGCCTAGCTTCTTCACTGTGGGAGAATCAGCCGGTCTCTTTGCCTCTCACAGGTCTCACCTATAAAACAAGCTGACTTGATGAACTTTTGCTCTAAAAGTGTTTGGACCCGTGGACTCAACCGAGCCAACTGGAATGCTTTGTTGACCACAGAACTGGCTTCAGGTCAGTCTCCAGGGCTACATCTTCTTCTTTATGTCTTTTCTGGCGGTGCTGGAGTTTGAATTCAGGACCTTGTGCTTGCTATGAAGGCCTCTACCACTTTTGCCACATTCCAAGTCCTTTCTGCTTTAGTTATTTTGGTGATAGGGTCTTGCATTTATGTCTGGGTCAGCCTGAGCCTTGATCCTATTTACACTTCTTGTATTGCTGGGAATGACAGGCCAGCACCACTACACACAGCTTTTTACTGGATGAGATGGGGGGTCTCTCAAACTTTTTGCCCAGGGTTGGCCTCAAACTGTGATCCTCCTGATCTCCACCTTCTGTTTAAGAAGTTGTTCCCTATACCTATCTGTTCCAGTGTATTTCCTACTGCTTCTTGGAGTTGTTTCAAAGTTTCAGACCTTACATTAAGGTCTTTGATCCACTATGAGTTGATTTTGGTACAGGGTGAAAAATAGGGATCAAGTTTCAGTCTTCTACATCAGGGTATCGAGTTTTCCAAGCAGCATTTGTTGAAAAGGCTGTCTTTCCTCCATCATGTGTTTTGGGATCCTTTGTCGAAGATCGGTCGGCTATAGATGTGTGGATTTATGTATGGATCTTCTATTCTGATCCATTGGTCTTCATGTCTGTTTTTGTGCCAATATCATGCTGTTTTTATTATTATGGCTATGTAGTAATTTCTGCCTTCTGAGTAGCTACAATTACAGGCACGAGGCACCCCTGGCTCTTGTTTGTTTTCTTGTTAGTGTAAATTAATTATACATAAGGGTTTCATGCATATAATGTACTTTGATCAAATTCATTGGCCAAATTAATATGCTAAAGTATTGTGAGATTCATTTGAATTCAACTGGTTTCAGTAATCTGAAATTCAATTCAGTCATGAACTTTGCCTTCTTGTGTTATACTTTATCTTCTTAAGTTCTGCAACTTGTAAGTGAAGGTGGCATTTCATTTGTTATCTTGATCCACTGTACAATTACTGCCTCAATTTTGTGAGCTAAAAGTAATATAAATTAGGAGTCTTGTTTGGAGAAGTACTGAGGTTTGAACTCAAGGGACACACATTTTAAAGCAGGAATCTTAATTATTTCCCTTTATCCTCTTACCTTAGTAAATGAAGCTTCCTAACACTCAGGGGGCAATGTTACACATTTTTTCTTACTTGATGTAACCATCCAAATTATGTGCATGTTAAGTTAGAGTGCACTGTCAACTGAGTTAGAATAATTACTGCAAATACGGCTCCAACCTTTGAAACACATTTTAACATGCTATTGGCAGATCAAGAAGTCCCTGGGGCAGAGCAGATGAGAACTGTACTCAGAGCAGAAGGGAGTGTGGCTGGGTTCAGCGTTTGATTCGGGCACTTGAGCTGCGTGACAGCTTATTTCCCCTGGCTGGACCTAGCTCGGTCAGCTCAGGCATGAAAATCACTTATTCACTAAGTCCCTTTCATTTTTCTCAGCTTTCCTTTAACTGTTATGTGACCCCTTTCTTTCCATAGCAGGGAAACTGGCAACGCTCAAGTTTTCTAGATTATTTTCAATATCCCGTAAAAGTGAGCTGTAGCTAATAAGACAGTGCTGCCCTTCACACCTTACACAAGGGTTACTATTGTCAGTTATTCCAAAACAGAAACATGAACGATCCTAAAGACTCGTTGAAAGAGCCCTGATTTTTCATAGACACACCTAACTGACTTCATTTTGAAGAATGTAAGATGATGTTTAGACCTTACTAGCTCCGAATGGAACCCAAACATCTAGGTGAATGACAATGGTCATTCAGAACACATGAAATAAAAAATATGTGAAGATGAGTTGTCAGACTATCCCTGTTTTAGAGAAACTAAGGACAGAACAAGTCAGAGCCAGCCCTATTAGTCATGAACAGTGTGTGTCTATGCCTCCTGCTATGCGGTTACACCTCGACACACCTTCACATGCAGGAGACCACCAGAACAATGAAAGCAACAGTTGTAACAGATGCAACCAAATTCAGCAAATAACGCTGAGGACTCTCAGAAAAATCTACCTATCCTAAAATAGTGTTAGCAAACACTTCCTGATTTCTGAAATGACTGGTGATAGCTGTCTCTATTCATCACAGAGCCACTTTGGAAATTTTGTTTTGTTTGATATTTTAATTATGAAAGTATAATGTAACTGGAGTGATCACTAGACCTGTATCAGTATTACATTCAAAACTTTCGTGGTGATGTATAACAATTCAGTGCACTGCAGCATTCAAGAAAGACACTTCATGGGCTGGGGGCTTGACTGAAGTGGTAGAACTGCTGCTTAGCAAGTGAGGCCCTGAATTCAAACCCCAGTACCACCAAAAAGAAAAAAAAAATGAAAGAAAGACACATTATATGTGAAAAGAACTGTGACACTCTTGAAAATTCCACCTCTGGACCAAAATCCAGGTCACAGCATATTTCTGAGTATGCTGAGGCCGTGGGCAAAGTAAGAGTGGTACTCACAAAAGTGACATTATAGACACTTTCATAGTGTGATGTATTTTGATGGTGCCACAATTATCAAAAATCAGATATGAGCTTCTCTATTCTAACATGTAACTTTCTTCATCAGAATACTTTGTATATATTACCATTAAAAATTAAATTGTGATCTTTACAACCAAATCATGGCACTAATGGCATGATTTAACGTTATAGTTGAAAACAATCGTTCAACTATTAGTGTTTAATGTCTATTATATTTATTTATAATTTTACATTTGCTTGGGATCTATCTAGTCTATGAACAGAGCAAAGTAATAAATCCAAATAAAGCCAGGTTTGGTGGTACATGTCTGTAATCCCAGGTGAGGAGAAAGCAGAGGCAGAAGGATGAGACCCTGTCTGAAAAACAGAAAAAATTAAAAGCTAAAAGATTGGGGGATGTGACTCAAAAGGAAGTGGTTGAGTAGTTGCCACACAAGCACAATGTTTCAGGTTTAATCCCTGGGACTGAAAAAAAGGAAAGGAATCCAAGTGAATCAAAACTTTTGGTTGGCTGGAAGAGATTTCTTGCAGTCAAGTGAAACCACAGATGACTGAACCATGAAGAGAGGAGATCTCTAAGTCCAGAAGCAAAGAACTTGTACTTACATGTGACGGTTGCTTTGTGGAGTGCTTGAAAAAGCTCTCTAAGATGGTGTTGGGCACAATTTTTCGAGTTGTCTTCTGAATGCCAAATGTTTTTGCTAGAGGTGAGGCAACAAACCTACAAAAAATACAAAAAGCAAGTAAGTTCAAAATCTGAGAACACATCTACAATGACACCAGAAAGCTTGAGCTGAAACTTTAGGTGCCCAGTGGGAGACCAATCATTTGCTCTGCTGTGCTAGTTGGGATGATGACTGTCCTCACAGGTCCATATACTAAAGGCTGGTTCCCAGGGTGTCACTACTGGGAGATGTGGTGGACCTTTAAGTGGGGCCTACAGAAGGAATGGACAATGTTGGGGTCTGTTCTGACCAGGGCCTAGTCAGGAAGCACTCTGGAGATGTACAGACATGGTTGCCTCAAGGAAACGTGGAGTAGGTGGCTCTTAGGAAAAATGCATGTGGCTCATCCATGTGGCAGCTTTGCACAGGGAGGTAACAGCTCTGAACTGGAACTGAACTGCCTTCCCACACATTGACCAAAGCAGTGATGAGATGGCTGGTCCAAGCTGAATGAGTGGTGGGTAGAGGAAAAGGACTGTTTCCTGCCCAGTGTTCCCTTTGTCCTTGGGCCACTCGAGATGAACAGTAGGTAACCACTGTTTTCAAGGAACCAGCTCAACTTCACTGGCTTCCTTTGGAGCTTGTTTAAGCCCTTGCTGTGAGTGCTTTTTGGTCTGAAAAGTTGGCTTGTCTCATCATGCCACCAGCGAGGACACCCTCTCTGTAATTATGAATTGTTCTTGTTTTACATGGAGTTAAGGAGAATGTCATTGATTGCTAGAGTTTGTCAGTGTTGGAAAGTTTCCATTGTGAGGTTCTTGAACTTTTTGCTTCATAATGTTAATTCATGCTAGATGCCCTTTCCACAAGAAAGGTTGGTAGTTGAGACGTTACAAATATTTTACTGTTTATAATAAAAATCATCTCGACAAAAGAAGTCCTGGGTGTTAATTTTAATATTTTGCACAAGATCTGTATACCATGGTATGTTAACATCTACGATTTCACTAACTGTTGCTGCTATTTTCCATTAAGGTTTCTGGAGCCTGGAGAGCTACGTGTTCTTGTTGTTTACTTATGTTCTTATTTCCCTGAAGCAAGAGACTGTATGGCCTTCTGTGCAAAGACTTCAGACCAATACTTTACATTACACTTGGTTGTCTCTTGGATATATAACTTCTGAGTGCAAATCATTGAACTCTTTAACAAAGTATTGTAGAGAATAAATCATAATGGGTAAAAAAAAAAATTAAAAGAAGTGGGGCCTACTGAGAAGCCTTTAGGTCTGGAAAGTGTGTCCTTAAAGGGGAGTGTGGGATCCTGGACACTTCACCTTTTCTTCTGCTTCCCAGCTCACGAGGTAAGCAGTTTTCTCTTCCATGTGTTCCTGCCATGGTGTGCCACCCTCACCAGGGGCCAAAAGCACTGGGCCATTCAACTGTGGAGGGGAATCTCCAGAACCATGAGGCAAGACAAACTTTTTCCTTTATAAATTGATTGCCCCAGATATTTTGCTACAGCAATGGAAAGCAACTAATGTACATTGTCACTGGAGCTATCTATAGCCAACATCTGCCTACCAAAAGTTCAAGAACAATGTTCAGATCTTATACACAAGAGGTAATTTCAAAATATAAAATAAATCACACAGTTCTAAAATTTATGTTAATTCAAATATATTTATATATAGAATCTAGAAATTAGGATAAGCTATCCTATTTAGAATTTCATTTTTATTTTTTAAGACTACCAAGGATGAACATATTGCACAAAAAAAGTGGGTGCTGGTGTAGCTCTGTGGTAGAGTCTTGCCTGGCATACACAAAGTCCTAAGTTCAATCCCCAGCACCCGAAGAAAAAAAGAAAAATATTTGGTGAGATTATCTTAAAGAAATTACTATATTTCTGTTTAAAGTCCTAACACATGAAACATAGCAACTTTTTGTGTGAATATCTAGGAATGCAATTGATGCGTGGTGTGGAAAGTGTACATTCAACTTTATAATAACTGAGCGAACGGCTTTCCCCACTGGCTACGCAGTTTGCGTTCCTCTCCAGAAGGGTCAGACTTCCAGCTCCTCCAAGTCCCTCAGCACTCAGTCCTCTCACCCTCAACCGTCCATTGTGGTGTGCAGCAGCTTTTCTTAACTTTCTACTACAACCTTTATTATTTGCTAACTTCTGTGTGCTTTAAGTTTAGTTTGATCTTATTTTTCTAGTTTCTTAAGGTAAAAGTTTAGATTATTGATTTGAGATCTTTCTTTGTTTTTAAATGTAGGAGTTTACAGCTACAAATTTCCCTCTGAGAACTGTTAATGATGCATCCCATAAATTCTGGTATGGTATTTTCTTTTTCACTCATTTCAAAGTATTTTCTAATTTACCTTGGGATTTCCTGCTATTTAATTTTCATTTATTGTCAATTTCTCAATTTCCTACTGGTAATGAGTTTTAATTTCATCTCATTGTGGTCAGAGGATCTACTTTGCATGATTTTAATCCTTTTAAGTTTATTGGTGCTTGTTAAAACAAGTCTGTTAACATATGGCCTATTACAGAGAATGCTATTTGTGTTCATGAGAATATCTCCTTTGCCAAGTATGGTGGTGCATGTCTGTAATCCCGGCTATGTGGGAGGTAGAGACATGAGGATCATGAGCTCAAAACCAGCAAAGGCCTTTCTCTCGGAGACCCTATCTCAGAAACAAAACAAAAACCAAGGGGCTGGGGGCATAGCTCAAATTGTACAGTGGTTGCTTAGCAAGCATGAGGCCCTGTGTTTGAGCCCCAGCACTGCAGACAAACTGTTGCTAGGTACATATGTTTATAATTACTGTATCTTCTCGACAGATTTACTCTTCTGTCATTACAAAATTCTCTTTGTCTCTAGTAACAATTTAAAAATCTCTTATGGTCTACATTTGGTATTAGTAAAGCCAGTCCAGATCTGTTTTGGTTATCGTTTGAATGGATTATCACTTCCATCCTTATACTTTCAATGTATTCGTATCTGTGAACCTTAAGTGTGCCTCTTGTAGACAGCATATAGTTGTGTTTACAAGAATAGATATATTAATATCTATTCTTCCTAGCCATGTTTCTTGATTAGTGCTTAATTGGTTTACATTTAAGATAATTACCAAGAATGTAGGCAGGATTTGTGTCTGCCATTTTGCTACTTATTTTCTATATGTAAGCCTTCTTTCTCTGCTATTCTATTACTATCTTCTGTGTGTTGAAAGGATATTTTTAGAGCACCATTTCAATTCCCTCATCATTTTATTTTTACTATTTAAAAATTTTAGAACACTTCCATCACCTCAATATAATCCCTCATGCATATTTACTGTTAATTGGTGTCTTCCTCAAATGTGCTTATCAGCAACCACTAATTTCTTTTCTGTCTTTTTTTTTTTTTTTCTTTTATTATTCATATGTGCATACAAGGCTTGGGTCATTTCTCCCCCCTGCCCCCACCCCCTCCCTTACCACCCACTCCGCCCCCTCCCTCTCCCCCCACCCCCTCAATACCCAGCAGAAACTATTTTGCCCTTATTTCTAATTTTGTTGTAGAGAGAGTATAAGCAATAATAGGAAGGAACAAGGGTTTTTGCTGGTTGAGATAAGGATAGCTATACAGGGCATTGACTCACATTGATTTACTGTGCGTGAGTGTTACCTTCTAGGTTAATTCTTTTTGATTTAACCTTTTCTCTAGTACCTGTTCCCCTTTTCCTATTGGCCTCAGTTGCTTTAAGGTATCTGCTTTAGTTTCTCTGCGTTAAGGGCAACAAATGCTAGCTAGTTTTTTAGGTGTCTTACCTATCCTCACCCCTCCCTTGTGTGCTCTCGCTTTTATCATGTGCTCATAGTCCAATCCCCTTGTTGTGTTTGCCCTTGATCTAATGTCCACATATGAGGGAGAACATACGATTTTTGGTGTTTTGAGCCAGGCTAACCTCACTCAGAATGATGTTCTCCAATTCCATCCATTTACCAGCGAATGATAACATTTCGTTCTTCTTCATGGCTGCATAAAATTCCATTGTGTATAGATACCACATTTTCTTAATCCATTCGTCAGTGGGGGCATCTTGGCTGTTTCCATAACTTGGCTATTGTGAATAGTGCCGCAATAAACATGGATGTGCAGGTGCCTCTGGAGTAACAGTCTTTTGGGTATATCCCCAAGAGTGGTATTGCTGGATCAAATGGTAGATCGATGTCAGCTTTTAAGTAGCCTCCAAATTTTTTTCCAGAGTGGTTGTACTAGTCTTACATTCCCACCAAAGTGTAAGAGGGTTCCTTTTTCCCCGCATCCTCGCCAACACCTGTTGTTGGTGGTGTTGCTGATGATGGCTATTCTAACAGGGGTGAGGTGGAATCTTAGCGTGTTTTAATTTGCATTTCCCTTTATTGCTAGAGATGGTGAGCATTTTTTCATGTGTTTTCTGGCCATTTGAATTTCTTCTTTTGAGAAAGTTCTGTTTAGTTCACGTGCCCATTTCTTTATTGGTTCATTAGTTTTGGGAGAATTTAGTTTTTTAAGTTCCCTGTATATTCTGGTTATCAGTCCTTTGTCTGATGTATAGTTGGCAAATATTTTCTCCCACTCTGTGGGTGTTCTCTTTCTTTTCTGTCTTTATAGCTTTTCCTTTCTTGGATATTTAATATAAGTGGAATCATAAAATATATAATCACTTTTGTCAGGCTTCATTCACTGAGCACAATGTTCTGACGTGCTTCCATGTCATAGCACATACTTGTAGTTTACTCCCTCTTCTGGTGAATAATAGCCTATCACTTAAGCTCATGAGTTCAAGACCAGTCTGGACAACAAAAAGACACCCATCTCAAAAAAAATGAATAAACAAATAGAAACAATGATGTGTTCCTATTCTTTCAGTTCAAACAAAGGCTATAACTTTTGCCAGGTCTAGTCTATTTCGTAGTTACTTAGAAGAGTTTCTGTATTTAATTAAGTTCTAGAAATTTACATTATGAGTGACTGTTTAGCCCTTTAATTCACTTTTATATCCAAGGGAGTTGAATAAAA